CAAGAAATTCTTAACATAATCTTGTGTACAGATTGGACGTTAACCTGAAGACGGAAATTCTCTGCGCTGGGGTCAGGAATGCGAACGAGAGCGCGTGGAATAATACTCTGGGGCACATACTTGCATCTACGCCCGACGAGGACAAAAGGAAGGATCAGCTGGTGGCTCTAGCCTGTTCTAACTCGTCTGAGATTCTGATGACATACTTAAACTCAACTCTCAATTCAGGCACCAAAGTTTTCTTCAGTACCGCTGCAAGAGACGTGGTGTCCAGATATCCGGGCGGTGCCCAACTCGTTTTGAATTTCGTGATCAAAGAACAGAAACGCATTGAGAAATCGTAACTAACTTCGTACTTTTCTTTCTTTTCACCGTGGTCATTGTTACGTTTACTTAAGGTTGTGTGAACCGTAAGATCTCCAAAAGTTTAAGAACCATGATAAGGAGCTATGTCCAATATGTGAACCGATAAACATTTAGGAAGGTTTACAAAATTGTTGACCTGCTTTTTTAAGTCAATCAACTTTTTTGTATAATATATGGTTTCGCCATTTTTGTACAATTGTACTTGATTTGGAACTGGTTACATTGTCCACACGTCGTACAATCTCTACTTTTGCTTAGTTTTTATGGTTCATCTGAAATAATATCTTTGAAGTTCATATTATTTCAAGTTTAAAATATTCTCAAAATATTTATTAATAATTGTACAAAATTAAAAAATTCTCCCATTGTTGTTTTATGAATAAAATAAAAATTCTTCATTCAACATAAGAATTCAAGACATGACAAGCTTTTTAATAGCCTAAAATTTTGCACAGTGTTCTATTAATGTAATACTTAATGATTTTTACTTAAGGATTCATACAATCTTAAAAGAAAAATGGAAACAACGATAAATAGTTATGGCATGAGAGTATGAAAGATGATGATTAGTACCAATGCATCAGTTCTTCCTGCATATTATAGTTGATAATAAAACGCATTTAAACATATTAGTAATAGGACCTTAAGCTAACCTCTGATTACCAAAATTTGAATTTTCAAATTAAATATAAAAATCAATCTCATTGATATCACTGACTTTTAGCAGCGACGTAAGCCTGTTGTTTTAACCTTGAGAACACAATCGATGATAATCATATTGGTGACGTTCAAAATGGAGATAAACAAAATTTTGCAAACCATTCGTATTTTGATATCATTTACATTGCATGAAAAACAGTGTTTCTGTCGTCTCAAGTGAAGGAGATATTTAGTTGGCTACACTTAGGTAGACCATCGTATAGAATTGTATGATTGGAGGCACAGATATTGCAAGGTCATAGCCAAGAAGTTATAGTTTCCTTTATTAGTAGTCAAGTAGTTATAATTTAGAGTTTAGCTGATGTAATAATTAATATAGTAATTTGTACAACGTTTCATCTTTTGATTAATAAAATAAATAATAGAATTGTTTGTTTGATTTCAGTTGAGCAATTTTTTGCTGAATAGACAACTAGTACGACCGTTTGAAGTTGTCATGGCAAAGGCGGCAGAGAACATGGATTGGATTGATAAGTACAAGTCAACTGTAGATAAGTGGTTGGACGCTAATAATCGTTTATTCGAGAGCACCGATGTAAAGCACTGGGGTAATAGTGCCAGCTTGATGGCAGTCGCGTCATCCTACGTTATATTCTCATTATTTATTACCCGATTTTACTAACGCGTAGTTTTAATAAAATAGAAGCACTAAGTTTTAATGAAATAGGGAGTGACCAAACGTGCAAACGAATGCAATCAAGCATTAACAGTTTTAGAATTAACATACGAACAGTGTATCTAAACGAATCGCAAGAACGCGACAGAAATATGTACAACACCAAGTGTGCTAATAGGTTTTATAAAATACGTACAGACTTTGTAAATATAGTACATTATCACCAAGGGCCGAAAATACGTTTTTCCAAGCAAGGTTGATATCCGAGTCTGAAACAGCTCATTCGCCCCGTGTTCTCCACTGTATTCTTTATAAAAAGTGCATAAAGAAGACCATTTTTTGTCGTCTTTATTGTGGAAGAAAGTATATGGTTTTTCGAGTCGTCCACTTAAATATATGACATATATATATGTACGTATGTGTATGCAAGTGTATATGTATATATACATATATACTATATATGCTAGTTATATCTATACATATCCTATATGTACGTAAATATATGCTTGCATACATACATATGCATACGTGTAATGTCATACACTTAAGTGGATGACTCAAAATTCTATCCTCGCTCCACTTGATCTTCTTTATGCATTTTATGTAAAAAATACGGTGAACAACACAGGGCGAATGGGCTCATTTTCATTCGTTGCCACCTTTTTTTCACACTTGCCAGCTCGATAACAATCGCGTCATTATTCATTATATTTTCATTATTTATTATCCGATTTTACTAACGCGTACTTTTAATAAAATAGACGTACTAGAGCGTAGTTTTAATGAAATAGGAAATGACCAAACGAGTGGACAAATGTAATCAAGCATTAAGAGTTTTAGAATTAATATACCAGAAGAATACTTAAACGAATGGCAAAAACGCGATAGAAATACGTACACAGTAAGCAAGAAATCATTGCTACAAAGTTGTTACAACGTTATCCCAGTAAGCAAGAAACCATTGTTATAAAGTTGTTACAACGTTATTTATAACATGATAAAGTATGTAGATTCTAATCTATGCAACATCATTATGAACATACTTTGACACGGATTTAAAGGCTTCTGTACCTTTGAAATAAAG